AAATGAAGATCTCATTTTAAAGAAAGAAATCTCTTTGGGGGAATTAAAAGCTCCAAGTTTACTTTGTCTGTCTGTCCTGGATATATTATGGAAAATATGGATTTTTACTGAGCATATTTATATCATGCATAAAAAGGAATTTTAACATACAGATGAAAATGTTTGCCTATTTAATAAAGAAATAATATGGGTTTAAAGAAATGTAGTAGATCCATAATTCTTCAAGTTTTTTTGAAAAATAAATCAAGTGTTGTTTGCTATCTGTGATCAAAAAGAGAAAGAGATGAAAGCAGTTCAGGAATCCTGATAGCTTTTACCAGTTCCATTACATCTTTATTTCTTACTTACTCATGTGTCATCCACCCTAAGGCTATGCACTCTAAATTTATGTACAGATGGACAGTCTACAAGCATGCATTGCATATAGCCTCTAATAACCCATTTTCCCTTTGCACATTTTACCTTTTCATGATATCGAATGAATATGCTGTATAATACAGCAAACAAGATAAATACATTTTAAACCACATCAAGAGAAGCATAATTTCCATATTTTTAATAGTGTAGTTCTTATTTCGATTTATTATACAGGTAGTCCTCAAATTTGCCTTATGATAACAGGAAGGTTTTGTTCTCCCTTCATAAATATTGCTTTTATATTTCCACTGATCAGATCTTAAGTTACTAGTATATTTTGTCTCCTTCTTTTTAATTGAAACCAGGGGTTTTGAGGTGCAGGAGGGAAAAAAAAAACACTGTTAATTTTAGGACTCTCAGAGACACATGGACAGTAGGTAAATATGAGGCAGCTTTTGAGAAGAGACAGGCGACTCTCTTCAGCTTACAGGTGAATTATCCCTGGAGTTTATGCAAAGGAAGGAGAACAGTATGAAGAACAGGAAGCTAGACTGGGAGGATGAAGAGAAAGAGGCTGTTGCAAAACTTACATAAAATCATGAAAGTTGGTGTGGCAGAGGAGAAAAGAAAGCAAGGGGAAAAAAAAGAAAAAGAAAAAGAAAGTGCATTTGAAAATAGCAGGGTAGGGATCTGCTCCTCTGCTTACAGGAGGGCTATTTGTGAACAAAGGATGGAGAAAGTAATAAGCTTTGGAGAAAGTATCAGAACAACAGTGGGCAGCCACGTCAGGATGCAGTATGAGGACTGAGAGGTTTTACATGGAAGGAGAAGCACTTTGTAGGTCTAAGCCAGGAGAAGGAAGATGACAGGAAAAAGGTCTGACTTTCAGTGTGTTTCTTCTCTCCCTCTCTCTTGGCAGAGACATATAGAATAAATACATTTTGGAAGGGTGGAGGAAATCTGCTTTGGTTAATTGTTCATTCAACGATTCCACATAGTTTAAAGTTTC